CTCGCAGGGTTTCTGTCTGCTCCATTTTTCCACTTGTGATATTGTGTCTGACGTATCTGGTTTTTCACTGCTTCAGATGGTGAGCGACGCCATCACATCGTTGAAGGAGAGAAACGGTTCCAGCCTTCACGCCATCACAAAACATATTGAACAAAACCATCCGAACCTTCCTGCCAATTGGAAGAAGACTCTTAGCGTCCAGCTGAAGAATCTTACCAAGGCTGGCAAGCTGACGAAGGTGAAGGCGAGCTACAAGCTGGGCGAAGAAGCCAAGCCTGCCAAGCCAGCGGTGAAAAAGCCTGCGGTGAAAAAGCCTGCGGCTGCTAAGCCGGCTGCAGCTAAGGCACCAGCGAAGCCCAAGGTGGCGAAGCCTGCAGCGGTCACTGCCAAGCCTAAGGCGAAGGCAATTGCTGCTAAGACTTCTCCTGCGAAGGCTCCGAAGGTTACCAAGCCCAAGGTATTGAAAAAGACTGCTGCAAAGGCGAAGACCCCGGAGAAGAAGGCACCAAAGGCAAAGACCCCAGAGAAGGCTAAGGCAGTCGCAGAAGCGTCCTCGGCCACCAAGAAGTCTCCAGTGAAGAAACGTGTAGCCAAGAAGGCTAAGGCCGCCAAGTAGCTTTTCCTCGCCTACATTGTAGTGTGTAATATCTGAATAACTAACCTTCATTTTGCTGGATTAGACTCTTTCGAGTGTGCTTTAGTACCTGTAAACAACTCAATGCAAATGTTACAGCATGTGGTGCTTCTTTTCTTCTAAACCAATTTCTACTTTTTTAGAGGGCAGAACCTGAATTGCAAAAGATGCAAGGAAAACTGGTGTTGAACAATATTTATGATTGTGTTAGGTTGCTAGGCTACAGTGCGGTACATTGTAGTGAGTACAACACCTTACCTTAGGTTCCTACTTGTATCTCATCTCATGCTACCTAGTTCACAAACGTTCCGGTTGCACATTCTAAGATGGTATCCTTTGAGTTAGTTCCTAGGCTGCCTTTGTCCTAGGTAGATTCCGCCCCTAGAGCCTCCGTCAACCCACCCGTCCCGCTCCTGTTCCCGACTAGCGGCTGTGTGCGCGGCTGCGTGTGCGGCTGGCTGCACACGGCTGCGTGCGCGGCGACTGCGCGTGCAGATGGCTGCGAGTGTGGCTGGCTGCGCGCGGCCGGCTGTGCACAAGCTGACTGACGGCAGATTTGTTTGTGAGGGGTGGGAGAGAGGGGGGGGGAGAGCAGCAGCAGCCGCTTGCCCTGCTGCATCCACGCGCGCAGCAGCAGCCGCATGAACAGCATCATCCGCGCCGCAAATGCACTTGCACAAACCGACTCAGACAATGAGGATGGAGGAAAGGTGAGAGGTGAGGCCGACTCAGAATCGGAGGGGAGGAGTGTGAAGGGAAGAAGGGAACACAGGGGTTTCCTGGGGGGGTTTGGACCGTCTGAGACACCTCAACATGATGTGCATGCCGTTTTCCGTGTCCTCCTTACTTCCCTCCCCTCAATCCCACCCGCGCACCAATAATGTGTGAGACCACCCGTTTTTTAGCCGCTCCGATACAATGGATGACGAAGACCTCAGCAAGCTGGGACGAAGGTTCCTTGCAGCTTCCTCGCAGGGAGCAGGGGGATAACTAAAGGGAGCAGGGGGGTAACTGCAGGGAGCAGGGGTGAAACTGCAGGGAGCAGGGGGGAACCCTGAAAGGAACAGGGGGGAACAGGTGGGGAGAGGGGGGGTCCAGGAGAAGGCAGCAGGGTGGAAATTGTGGGGAGCAGGGGGGAAAGTGAAGAGAGCAGGGGGGAGACTTAAGCGAGCGGGGGGAACCTGCAGGGAGCAGGGGGTTTCCAGGAGAAGGCAGCAGGGGGGTAACTGAACGGAGAAGGGGGGTAACTAAAGCGAGAAGGGGGGTAAGTGAAGCGAGTAAGGCGATACTTAAAGAGAGGAAAGTGGTGGTAAGCTTGGGAATGAAAGGCAAAGTAGAGGAAAAAATGACGGGCAATCTGAGCGCAAGCAGGGAAAATACTTCAGCAAACATGGCGTTTCCTCCTCTCATCCCGCGCCCCACACACCCATTCCGCGTTTCCTCCCTTCATCCCTCTCACCACACACCCTTTACGCGGCTCCTCCTCTCATACCACGCCCCAAACACCTATTCCGCGGTTTCCTCTCGCATCCCGCGCCGCACAAACCCCTTCCGCCTCTCGATCCCGCACGCCAGACACCCATTCCGCATTTCCCCCTCTCATCCTGCGCCTCACATACTCGTACCGCATTTCTTCCTCTCGTCCCGCGCCTCCCGTTCAAACTTCATTCCGCAATTCCTCCTATCACCCCGCGCCGCACACACTCCGTCGGCTGTGCTACGGCCTCTCTTCGGCCAATTCCATGGGGCAATCCTCTACAATACCGTATTGCGTCACCTCTCATTCCATTGCGCACCCTGTTGCCTCCTCCCATGGTATTTAGTGTCGCTAAGCCAGTTTCTGTCGCCGTTTAGAACCCTGCCACGATTTCTAGCGCCAGGTTGGGACGTGGTCCTTCATAACCAGCGCATTCCGCGCGAGGCATTCCCACCACTCTCACTTCTTGCAAAACTGTTAGCAGTGAGTTTTGCAGGCGAGCTTCGTCAACAGTTGCCTTCGCGATTGTTCCGAACCTTAAATCCGCTGTCTTCCGAACCTAGGTTGCATTGAAGTAGCGGGTGTTTGTGATGGTAGGGAATTTGGGACTGCATACCCCATGCGCGCGAGGTTTGTTGATACAGCAGGAAAATTTTCGAGGGCGCGCCCCCCGGCTTGTTCAAGTCGAACAGGTCGCAGACGTTTGTTCGCGCGCGATTTTCATTGGTGCGCGGGTGCAGATGTACACTTGGCGGATCAGATGGTGCGACGATGAGAACTGAGATTACGTGTTGCCAACGGCACAAGGTTACCTTTACAAGTCATTGGAGCGGATGGTGTCCAGGCCATCGCCAGGAACTCCCTCTAAATTTGGGTCTTGGCTGCTAGACCAGACCAGACCAGTAAACAGAGGTTCGGCAAACTTTCCCTCCAACAAAATGAACCCACCTCGGCCACGTTGGGGCTACCGTTTTCTCTCGTAGCTATTCGGTGGTGCTTTCCTTGTGGTGATTCGTGGGAGGTCTGACTTGGTCCAACTAGTCCGGATTCCGCGCGGTAGGCTCGAATTTGCGGTGAGGTGATTTGGAAAGTCTGTAGACCCTGTTCGGCAGGCCCTTGGTCCGGTTAGACCCGATCGGACGTGAGAAACCCAAGCGGCTTAAAGGCCGCACCCCGAATTACACAACGAAGTCAACGAAAACATTGTAGGTTCGAAAAACCCCAAAAGAAGGTTCGGTGGGAAAATCGAGAAACAATTGCGTCAAAAACCCGCTCAAAACCTTCGATCAATCACGTGAAAGTGGTGACAGTTTTGGGGCCGGCACGAGCGTTCAGGGAATCATATGAAATTTGAATATGGACGGACGAGCAAGGGCATTATTTTATTTCTAGTCAGTTGCCTCCATTTTGCCAGCGGCTTTCCCTTTACCCGGGGATTGTTTTTTTCCCCAAACCCCAACCTGTTTCCCACTTTAATGGATGGTTTGCCTACACAAGTTCAGCGCATCCCAAATCTTTCGAGCAATAAAACCCTAAACAAAGCGATGTGATGCTGCAAATCAATGTCAGATATTTTTTTCTAGCCTTTTAAACAAAGAATGCAAGATGTTCATGGAACTAGGCCAAATATTTCCATGTTCTGGTCGCAAATTGCATACTGGATTGTCCCACAACAATTGGAGACACTAAACGGCTCAGTCTGGGCTTAAGGGTATGCATTATATCAAGTTTGTAGTGTTTTTTTTAGAATGTTCACCAATATGTTTGGACTTAGCAACATAGGTGCTTAAAAAATAATGGTCCAACCTAAATGTCGCCATTGTCTCATAGCTTATTTGTTTGTTCAATATAGCGCAATTGACAATGAGATATTTGGTTCTCAGTCAACAACATATGGGTCATTCATATTCTCCCACTTACGTTTGTCGGATGCACGGTATTGTTTACACTTGCATGATGTTTACTATTACATATATGAAGATACCCAATGCAATGGGATTAGGTTATGTACAAATAATTCAACCATTTGCGTAAGAATGGATATTCTTGACACCTCTATTACGTGTATTTTGTTTAACCATTTTAAGGGAAATGCAATTTATCACAAAAAACGCACCTTGAAAATTGACAAATCATAATTGTAAAGTACATTTGTGTTCTGTTTTATTGAAATATAAGGATTTATGCCATGATTTGTATAATCAAGCAGCATGTTGGCTTACTAAACAAATTTTCAAACTAGACTGATATGAGAAAAGTGATTATTGTTTTATACAAAATGAATACGATAATATGTTAGTTTTTATTATGAACAAATTTACGACAACCAGATATATATATATATACATATATATATATATTGATTTTGTAGGGATCATGCGTTGCTTAGAACCTTGGCAGCCTTTTCTTGTCGCCATTACATACATTGGATACATTTTTCCGCGACTCAAATTTAGTTCCTATGCTGGCCCAACATACCTAGAACTAATCTCCACTTGATTTACGTTGGTTTATAGTATTTCATGAACCTAAGCAGACCAACAAGACACTTGGCTGCCTCTAGCAGAAAATCGGGCTGCCCCACATTTCAAACCCTACTTCAGTAGTTGCTGAGTAGCTTCGGCGGTTCAATCGGATGGTCATGCGAGCACGTCCCAGACTTCTTCAGCCCTAGAAACACTCACTTTGGTGCTTGAATCCGAGAGGACACACACAGCGCATCATCAGTACAGATGAGCAACCCAGCAGCACGAGTCTACATCGGCGGTCGTCTGTGCAGTGTGACTACAGTAGTAATCTCTGCCTTGGTGTTCAAGCTGCTCTGTGGTTGTTTTCAGTGCCACCTGCAGCTGACCAGCGAGGTCCGCCCAGCTCCGAGCACTCGCCATCATGGCCACTTTACTGGCGACGACTTCGAGTCGAGGCTTCATCACGGTGAAGCTTCTCACGGCGCTGCTGGCGGCGACTCTTCTGCTGCCGTCAACCAATGCAGCGGCGTACCCTAACTGTCCGCTGACCGGCAAACCACCGACGAAGCCAACAGTGCCCCCCACGCGGTGTGTGGGAGCATCTAACTTGACGTGCTGCTCCGCGTGCTCCGACATTAACTTCGCCGTTCAGGCGCTCGCCGTTAACGTTACCGCCGCCGTGGAAGCCGCTGCGCAGGGGCTCATCGATGTCTCCACCGTGCCGAATAGCGTGAGTGGTCCCGCGAGATGGGAACCGATTTATTGATGTAACGATGTATCGGTGCATGCGTGCATTTTGGTCGGCGTTCGTTTTCACGCACCTGCTCTGCAAAAGGAACCAAGCAGTCTCGTTGTGTGTATTTTATGCGTGTCTGCTCGCGTGCGTCTTGTGCGTGCAGATCTGTCCTATCATGAAGGGTAATGAGATGTGTGAGCGACTCATCGAACAACTCGCCTGCGCCGTGCAGTGCAACCCTGGTGAGACAGCCAGCACATCTGATAAAGTTTAACAAGAACAGTGCATACCCAACACATCTTGGTCGTTCCTTTTATCGCTCTGCTGCTCTTAATCACCTCTGCGTCGTCGCTCAACCGCTTGCCGCTGGCCTTCCACCCGTCTTCCCGCGTCGTCCCCCCCGCCTTCCTCTCCCTCTTCCCCTCCATATCCCCCCCCGTCACGCCCGCCGCGTCTGCTCGCGCGTTCTCGCCGGCGTGTGTGGCAGACTCGGGCAACTACCTCACGGGCAAGCCCGGCAAGTACATGCTGCAGATCTGCACGGACCACGGGCAGGCCATCTACGACGCGTGCTCCTCGCTTGAAGGTCAGACCCGCGCTCCCATGTAACGGTCTTCCATGTCTCGCTCCTGTCGCCCACTTCGTCTCTCCTTCAAATCGCTGTATCCCTGTGTCTTCTGACACGCGTATTTTCTTGTCGTCGTGGTTGTGGTGCGGTGTGCTGTGTTGCGCGCGCGCGCGCGCGAGTGCTGTGCAGTGGCGGGAATCGTGGTGGCCGACTTTTTTACCACGCCGGATGACATCATCCAGCAGCTGCTCGTGCCGCTCGTCGCGCAGCAGATCCCCGGCTTCAACGCCACCGTCGCTGTGAGTAGATCTGCTGGCGAGACGACGCCGGGTGCGATGCACGCGACGCGCTCGTCGAGCCGTAGTCACATCCATTCAACCGAGTCAACCCAGTTTCTCGCTTTCACGCCGAAGCACGCGTGCTCGTTTCTCTTTGCCATGCCACGCACATGCTGCAACGTTTCCTCGCTTCCCTCTCCTGTGCGCTGCTGCGCGCTGCTTCTGCTTCAACTTGTGCCCACCACCCACCCTCACCATGCAGAAAACCGCATGCTACTCCGGTCCCACATTGGTCCCAGTCACCCCTCTCTGCTGCGACCCGCTCACCATCCCCGCCACCTGCCCGCCCGGTGCGGTCAACATGACGGCCGCCAAGAACGTGTCGGGGCGCCCCCTCGACCCGGCAATCTGCGCTGACTTCCCCTACTCCAACGCCACCATGCCCTTCCCCCCCAATGCCAGCCCGCCAACCCCCTCCGCCCCTGCTCCTTCGCCTCCCGCTCCTGCTCCCTCACCCCCCGCCCCTGCTCCTTCTCCTCCCGCTCCTGCTCCTTCACCCCCCGCCCCTGCGCCAGCCCCCACCATCGCTCCTTCCCCCCCAAGCACCGTGTCTCCGTTTCCCCCCTCTGCATCTCCTCCTCCGCCTGTTCCCACCCCCCCTCCTCCTCCCCCCAATGCTGCTGGGGTTGGCGGAGCGTCTCTGGCTGTTGCCGTTCTGCCATTGCTGGCGGTTGTGCTGATGGCGTGAGTTCCAGGCGTGCAGGCTGTGAGGCATGCTCACGGGTCTGAGTTTTGAACCAGTAGCCACAAGAGGACGCCTCTTTGAGTCTGACCTAGCGTGGTTTGCATCGTAGCCTATGGCCTTGTTTGTGGTTTGCTTTGAGACTTGTGCTTGCAATTCTCTGATGACTACTGAATGAGCATGCTATTTGATTGAAACCATGTCCGTGAACTATGCCTACAGATCAGTCATGGTGACATGACAGGAGTTTGTCACTTCACTCCTAATGCGTTTTTTGTTTGCTTCCCCGTTTGTCTCGTTTCACTGGCCACAATCGGGTTCGTTTCTTAGCGAAACACACTATAAAAAAGGTAGACCAAATTGTCACCAGCCAATCGAATGTTCTCAACCCTGTCCGTACGAGCGTGGTTAGGTAAGCGTCTCTTACGTTCTCTGCGGTCTAATTCGTTTCGTCACGGTACAAAAAGGTAACAATTCAAAACCACCCTCCACCGTGCAACCGTTCCGAGCCGCGAAGCATGAAACTGGAAATGTGCAGCTGGACTGAAAAAAGAAGGGCAGATCCCGAAAGTTGGTTTGCAGTTCATGCATGGATGTTCAGGCTGTTTAGTAACGGTTTCAATCGGTGAAGCTAGAAAGCGATCCGGAGTTCACATTGTGTTAGCGGCGTGAATTGTTCTATGTACAGGTGGGTTGATTGTAGGTTCTATCTCAAACCGAGCTTGCGACGGGTCCTCAGCTCAATCACTAACTGCCGTGGAGCCTGATTTCACAGCCCAGAGCCCACACTTACTCGCATCCCCACTTCCCACGTCATCCATGCTGTCAGCGCCGCGACTCTCGCGATCCACGCTGGTCGCCACGCTGCTCGTGCGAGTCGCGCCCATAGCCACGCGCGTAATCAACCATGGGCTTGAGTCCGCCATGCCCGCACACCCCCGACCCCGTCCTCTTCGCGTCCCCCAGGCCCTCCGCTGCGCCGCTCCGCTCCTGCGCGAAGTTTTCCGCGCGTCCGCAGTCATCGCCCGCGGAGCCGGCAGGGCGAGGCGGAGCGGACGGGCGCGCGCGCCGAGGGGGGGGGGGTGCGGGCGGCTGCGCAGATGGTCGCAGGGTGTGGTGCGCCCGCGCAGGCGAGTTCCGCACACAGTGGAGGGTCGACGGAGGGGGAAGGGAAACGGCGGAAAATCCGGGGGATTGAAGGGAGAAGGGGCGGATTTGCGGGAGAAGGGTGAATGGGTCAATAAGAAGGTGCGAGTGAATTGACGGGAGGAGCATCTACGTTGGGGAGGATGGGAGGGAGGTGGTGTGGTTGGATCAGCTGTAGGGGGCAGGGAGGGACTTGGAGAGGGAGGGGCGTGTGGAAGAACCCGCAATGCACTGCTCAATGCTCATCTCTCACCTCGTCTCTCAGCTCATCTCTCAGCTCATCTCTCAGCTCCTTGGCCCTCCCACGTGCAGGCGTATCCCCCCATGTGCCCCTTCTTACCCATATTTCATCCTGCTCCCACTCGCCCTCCCGCGCGCTCCAGGGTGGTGAAGAGGGTGAGTGTGCGGGAAGGGGTGAATTGGGATCAGTTCAGTAGGCAGGTGCGAGTCGACTGACGGGACGGGAGGAGCATCAATGTGGGGAGGACAGGAGGGGAGGTGGTGTGGTTGGGTAAGCCGTACCGTAAGGGGGCAGCGAGGGACTGCGATGAGGAGGGGTGTGTGGGCGAACAACCTGCAATGCACTGCTCAATGCTTATCTCCCAGCCGTTTCGCCCTCCCACCTGCTTATTTGCACCCCCACCTTCCCCTTATTTCCCTATTTCCTCTCGTTACCCTGCATGTTTATCGACCCATGCTCCTCCTGTTATCATCGCTCTCACTCGCTCTCACTCGCTCTCACTCGCTCTCACTCGCCCTCCTCTGCCCTCCCAGGTGGTCACGCCCCACCCAACGCCTCTCCCTTCCGACCTGCTTTGAGTAAGTCCCTCCAACCCCTCCCTCCCCTCCATTCCCCCCGTTCCTCCTTCCCCTTCCGTACATTCCCTCACACGCCACATGCACGCCACATGTATGGCGATAGTGCATCTCTTTCTTATACAACCGTGCTCTCCACGCCCTGCACCAGCACAGCATCACCACCCCCTCTGTCACACCCCCCCCCCCCCCCTCTTCCGTGTAACCTTCCACCCTATCCCCCGTAGCGCATCGTCACTCCCATACACCATATTCCCCTTCTAGTCTTACCATGTACCATCTTCCCTTCTATGTTTACCGTGTACCATATTCCCCTTCTCCCTGTCCAAACCACACCTTTCAACCCACCCCTCCTTCCTCCCCACTTTCCACTCCCCCTCCTTCCTCCCCTTTCGCTCTTCCCCTCTTCCCCCTCCCTCCCCCCCCCTTTCCCCTCCCTTTCCCCCGCCCCTCCCCCTTCCCCCAGGTGCACTGTGCGCAGTATCTGGCGCAGGTCTGCCAGGGCGCGCTGCCCTCGGCTGCCATGCGCCGCATTGGCTTCCCCTGGTCGCCCACCCTCGTTAGACGAACTCTCGCCGAGGTGCGCTGAGGTAGGGGGCAGGGGAGTGGGCTGGGCGGGCGGGCGGCACAGGAGGTGTTAGTAAAGGTGTGGTGTGGGTGAGAGGGCTGCATGGGTGAGAGGGTGCTCAAGCGCTGCTGTTCCGGTTTGAAGCATGTGTGTGCACTGTTCTGCCTCCTGCTTCACGTATCCATGCACCAGTCTCTATGCTTTGTCACACAGAGCTTCTTTAACCTTGTCTCAGCTAGCTGCTTTTTCTCTCCCCTCCCATCTCCACTCCTTCCTCGTTTCCCGTTCTCTCCTCCCCACCTCTTTTCCTCCTCGATTTCTACCTCTCCCTCTCTCCTCCCTCCCTCCCTCCTGCCCTTCTCCCCTCCGCCTTCCCCCAGGTGGCAGGGATGTTGGACGCGGCACAGCTCGCGCTGGAGCATGGGCCTGTATGCAGCACGGCAGGAGGTATGCTGCACAGGAGGAGAGGGGGGATGGAGAGGGGAAGGGGGGGGGGGGAGGAAGGGGTTTGGTAAGGATTCTTCAAATACAGCTAGCAGATTGATTGACAGCGCCGCAGGGGAGCATGGGCGCATGCAGCTCTGGGGGGGAGTGGGGAGGGGGCAGTGGCACACACAGCAGGTTGGCGTGTCGAGTGACCGAGAGTTGCATTGCCAGTGCATGAGGGCGAGGCGACAAGTCTGTCACTGACTGTTGAGCCTGCTTTTTTTGACTGCATTGACTGGGGAAGATACCAGGTCAGGTGATGGAGGGAGAAGGGCCTGTAGCAGAGAATGGGAGTTGGGATGTGTGCAGGGCAATGTGAGGGGGAGGAGGGTTGGGGGCAGTAGCCGTGCTGCTTTTGGATTGTGGCGTAGGTGGGTGACGTGTCTCACGAGTCCAGATGAAAGTGGGGTAGTCTGAGGACACGGTGAAAGTGACATATTCGGAGGATGGTGAGAGAATATTGGTTTTCACGATCGCTTTGGGGAATTGATCGGTGAAACGATGCACACCCGGCGTTGGAACGATCGGAAAAAACTGTTGAGCCTTGTGTTAAATTCGCCGGGATCACTTTGGCGCGGAGAAATTACCCGCTTTACAACAATTTCGTACACGCTCGAGTGCGAATTTCACACCTCACAGGGCAACCCGGTCGGCGAATCGATAGCCTTGTGAAATGTGAAAATTGTGCGACTCATTTCACCCGCTTAGCGAAATACTTTCACGTCGCAAGCACTTGGATCAGTCATCACTGTAATGCTGGGATTGTCGGCATTTGCTTCCCAGCGATGCCGGGATTGATAGACGATCAGTCGTCCTGTCTGAATGTTAGTGTATTTTGTACAAAATTGTCACTGTAGCTGGGGTTACTTGTCTGTAAACAGGGTAACCGTTTCACACATAGATCGCGACAGATGATAGATCGTCTACTTTCACCGCGTCCTGATATGGTCGGTGCTGGGAGGCATGAGATCGATGGGGGTAGAGGTGAGAGGGCATTCCTTCTGGATGGTAACGATAAAAGGTCCTACCTAGAATTGAATTCGGCCTTTCAGATTCAGAGTCTGACGTCATAACCACTAGACCATAGGACCACGGTACCATGAGACGCCCTTCCACCCCTAATCCTCATGTCTATTTTATCGCCACCTCCACTCACCCATCCACCAGGCATGCACCATGCATTTCAGGGCCACAGCTTGGGCTACTTCATTCTGAACGACCTTGCTATTACAGACACTGCCCTCACTGCCTCCTCCCTGCTCCCACGGCCTAATGGCACCCACCCTGACATTGACACTGCCACCACCACTAGCATAAGTGCTGTCACCAACCTAAGCAGCATCACTACAATTACAGGCACAGGCACAGGGCCCACCACTGCTGCTGGTGTTACCTGAATCACCTTCAGCAGCAAGCGCATGTGGTAAAGGCTATCAAGCATATGTGTGGAGAGGGTTGTTGGTGTTGGAAACAATGGAACTTAAACGCTTCAGCAGTGTCAAAACATTGCACCAGAAGCGAGGCAACATACACCGAAGCACCTGCGAGTCAACCCTCGGAGGTTGAATCGGCTGCAGGAAGTTACGCGAAAGTCAAAGGTCGCTGACCCTTGACCTGACAAGAACAGCGCGACAGTTAAGGACACACAACTGACTCGTTACAGAGCAGTTGCCCGAGTCGCACTGTATCGAACCGCAACAGCAACAGTAAAAGTAGTTATAACCGTATCTCTTCATATTCCCTGTATTATTATATAAGCTTGTATCCTTTCACTATAATTTAATCTAATTTGCTCTCACACACTAGTGCAAGGTCGGTTCACAAAGCTTCATTAAACGCTTCCGCTATTACAAAGTATCATACCCAGAGTTATCCTCTGTAAAGATCCTTAGGGCCTTTTCAGCCCAACAGTTGGAGGGAGCCAAGAGCAGTGGTGGGGGCGAGAGGGCGATGATGAAGGGCCTGTAGCGAGTGACGATACTCGACCTAGATGTGCACCAGGTGATGCTCCCTCGGATCCCTCTCCTCGCTCCTAATCTGTTCTCGCTCAGGTGAGCTAGCCAAAAATCACTTAGAGATTGCTTAAGTATTTTTTTGTAAGAGAGACACAGAGGGAGAGGATGATCACAGACAAGGAAACTCCAGGTGGGACAGTAAATACCGAGTTACTAAGCACAAACCTATGTCGATAAATCCACTCGTTGCCCTTACCAAAGAGCAGCAGTAGTGAGGCGACATTGCCCCCTTATTTAGGCTCACTTCCTTGCCAAGGCCTTACACAACACTTCATCTAAACCTTGTTGGGCTGAAAAGCCCTAAGGATCTTTGTAGAGCTTAAAGACTGAGTAGGATTGTAATAGCGGAAACGTTGAAGTAAAGAGTGATTGAACCACCTTGCGCTGGTATGTGAGGGCAAAGTAAGTTGATTAAAACAAACAAATACAAGGCTTTATATAAGAGTACAAGGAATACGAATAGATATAATAACTGTATTGCTGTTGCGATTCGATACGGTGCGACTCGGGCAACTGCTCAATGTCGAGTCAGTTGTGTGTCCTTGCTGTCGCGCTGTATTGGTCAAGTCAAAGGTCGCTGACCTTTGACCTTCGCGTAACCTCCAGGCGGTTACCCCCAACCTCCGAGGGTTGACTCGCGATGCTTCGATTCGGAGTGCTTCGCTTTTGTATCCAGAGTTTCGACACGACAGAGGCGCTTAAGATTTATTGTTCCCAACACTCCCCTTCGCTTCTGGAGTGTCGCTGATGGTGACGTGGCCTTGTCCAGTCAGCAGCATGCAGTACTCAAACTTCTGTTTTCCGAGCTTCTTGGTCAAATAGTCTGCTGCCATCTCGGACGTGAGACAGTAGGATAACTCGAGTCTTCCTTTTTCGATCTCGTCTTTCACGAAGAAGTATCGCAGAGCGATATGCTTCGTTCTGTTCGCGAATCCGCTTTTGTTGGCGATGCGAATTGCAGATTGGTTGTCGCAGTGCAGGGTGAAGTTGGGTAACTCAGCTAACTTTGCTTCTTCCAGCAGCTCGCGAAGGTAGAGTCCTTCCTTGGTGGCTGAGCAGAGGGCGATATATTCTGCTTCAGCTGAAGAGAGAGCGATTAGTTCCTGCTTACTCGACTGCCAAGAGATAGGTCCGATAGGCTCGAGACGATAGACGTAGCCGGTGCGAGAGCGCCTGTTATCTGGATCGCCGGCATGGTCGGCATCGACATAGCCGATTAGCTTCGTTGACCCAGCTTCGTTCTTGTAATAAGTCAGGCCAATCGTCGGTGTGCTCACGAGATAGTGCAGTGCGCGATCGAGCTCTGCCAGGTGATCTACTTCAGGCCTCTTGAGATAAGTAGCGAGCTGGCTAGCGGAGTAGGACAGGTCTGGGCGACAGGTGACGGCTGCGAAGAGTAGACAGCCCAGTTTTCGCTGATAGTCGCGTATTCCGGCAGCTTTGAGTAGGGCGGAGTTTCCTTGGCCGTTTCCTGCCGTGTAGCGGTATGGTGTGGCGATAGCGGTGGGTGTGAGCGAGAAGCGCTTGGCGATCGTGTCGGCGTATTTCTCGGCGCTTAGATAGATTGCGTTTTCTTCTTCGCGGATGTTGAGCCCGAGGTACTGCGTAACGATAGAAGAAACCGTGAGCGTGAGGTCTTTCTGCAGCTCCCCTTCGAACCAGGTGGTTACGTCGTCGGTGGAACCGATGTAGAGGAGATCGTCGACGTAGACGATGAGTAGGATGTAGTTGGCGTCTTTAGTGAGTCGGTACATGCCCTGGTCATGAGGCAGTTGGCGGAATCCGATGCGGATGAGGCGGGTGTGTAAGTGCTGTTGCCACAGCCGTGGGGCCTGTTTGATTCCGTAGAGGGATTTTAGCAGTTGGCAGACTTGATTGGGTTCCCCGTGGGTACCGTGAGGGAGCTCGACGAAGATGTCGGCGTCAACAGGTGCGTAGAGGAAGGCGTTGGTGACATCAATTTGTCGCAGTTTTTTCTTCTTCATGGCGGCAACGGAGAGAAGAATTCGGAGTGAGGTATGTCGACTAATTGGGGCCAATGTCTCGGTAAAGTCTCGCCCTTGCTCCTGGTCGAATCCTCGCACGACCCATCGTGCCTTGAACTTCTCGATTGTACCATCTGCTTTCGTTTTGATGCGGAAGACCCACTTCCCGGTGAGAATGGTCTTGTTCCTTGCCACGCTTGCGGGAACGACCTTCCAGGTGTTGCGTTCCTCCAGCGCTTTTAATTCTCTGTCCATGGCTTCACGCCATTTCTCCCTGTGTTCCCCCCCCAGAGCCTGCTGAACCGTCGCAGGCTCTTTAGGAAGAGGGTTGCCGGCGTTCCCGTGGACTGCGGTGACGAGGCCGAGGATTTGCAGCCCAGTCTGTGAGTATCGGGGGAGTGTTGTATCGTCGGGATAAGCTGCTTCGTCTCCTGCTTCTGGATCGGGGATGAAATTTGGCCCTATCCTTTCTGCTTCATTTGTGTTGACTGTCGCAGGTGTTACGTAGCCGTTGTCGGCGAGATGGTACAAGACTTCGGCGTTGTTACTGTCGCGAGGATTTTCTTCGTCCATGGGCACGTCGACGGAGCAGTACGGGAGAGGTCCGGCTTCTTCCGATGCGTTGTCAACGTTCTGTTCATCCCAGTCTGCTTCGTCCGCTGCTGACGCGAAGGCTCGGTCACCACGAAAGCCACCTGTGAGGTCCCGATTCTCGTGCAAGTTGGCGAGGTACGTCTGAAGGGTGAGTCGCTCGTAGAAGATCACATCACGTGCTGCCACTGTTTCTTTTGTGTGGACGTCGAAGATTCTCCACGCGTTGTAATTTTTCTCGATGCCGAGGTGTAGTCCCCACTGTGCTCGTTGCGAAAATCTTCCCGCTCGTGCTTCTGGGGGTCGGTACTGTACCATGCACCCGAAAACTCGTAACATTTTTGTGCTGCCCTGCTTCCCTGTCTACAGCAGATGCGGTGATGCGTTGTTCGGGAGTGACGACGACGACAGCAAGTTGTGCAGCATGACAGCGTGGTC